CAAACCGACAGCCATTGACCATCGAAGTCGGCAAACTGAAGTTTCGTACCACCTGATCCCCAGAGGCGTCCGTGATTACCCGTTAGCTGCTCCAACCATATTGACAACTTGCTTCAATATAAATTTGTGTAGTGGATCAAAAATTATGAAACTAATTTTGTTAGATTTCTAAAATCATGATCTATTGTAAGGTCAAGATGGCGACTAGAGGGGGGTAAATAGTTGTTTTTAAAATTTAATCGCGTCGGCTAACCGAAACATGTGTGGAATTAAAACTATCGGTCTAACCAATACTACACCTCTCTATCTATGTTCTCTAGCACCTTGTAAAGATCCTAATTAAGTAACTAAGGTGCTGGGCTAACTAGAGCTCACCTAATCAATTCTAGAAGAAAGGCCACACAAACCTATGCCACTAGTACGTTAAGCAACAAGGGAGCTCCTACACATGCTAGCAAGCAAAAGCACAAAGCCAACTAAGCTCACTAGCAATGCTCAATAACAAGGCAACAAATGGCAAATTAGAGAGCGCAAATACTTAGCTACGCAAACTAAGCAATGTGACTAACAAGGTTACACAAACCAAATTAACCACGCAAAGGAACTACTTCTATGTTGCACAAGCAAGAAGGTAACTAGTGATCTACACAAGCTAACTAATTACAAGAGCAACTACATAAGCACAATGTATGAAAAGTAATCACAAGCTTGTGTAAGGGGATTGCAAACTAATGGGAAGAACAAAGTTGACACGGTGATTTTCTCCCGAGGTTCACGTGCTTGCCAACACGCTATGTCCCCATTGTGTCGACCGCTCACTTGGTGGTTCGGTGGCTAATTGGCATCACCCGCCAAGCCCGCACGTCGGGCACCACAAGAACCTACCCCAAAAATGAGGGTAGCTCAATGACACGCTCAACTAGAGTTGTTCTTCGCGGCTCCCGCGGGGCGAGCACAATGCCCCTCACAAAGCTCTTCTCCGGAGCACCGCACAAGCTTCTTGCGGGCTTCGACGGAGACCCCCACCAAGCCGTCTAGAGGTGACAACCTCCAAGAGTAACAAGCACCACCGGCTTGCAACTCGATCACCTAGTGCCCCTCGATGCAACCTTACGATGCAATCGCACTAGAATCACTGTCTCACACAATCGGATGATCGCTATCAAGCATATGTGAGATGGAGTGCTTTCAAGCACTCTCAAGCATGGACACAAAGTCCCCCAAGGTGCTCAGCACCAGCTATGGCCGAGACACCCTTCTATTTATAGCCCCACGGGCTAAACTAGCCGTTACCCCTTCACTGGGCAAAACTCGGGACGACCGGACGCGCCGGTCGAAACGACTAGACGCAGGACCTCAGCGTCCGGTCAACGGATACTTGCCACGTGTCGCCTCCGTTCAACCTCAGTCGCTTGATCTCAACGGTCAAGTGATGACCAGACGCAGCTGCTCAAAGTGACCGGACGCAGCAACCCCAACGTCCAGTCGTTTCCAGTAAGGTACCAGTCGCGACAGGACGCGTCCGGTCGGCCACGATCAGACACAACATCAGCGTCCGGTCCTTCTTCAACCTTTCTGCGTCGCCTACGTCACCGTACGTTAGCCTGACAGGACGCACCCTGTCAGCGTCCGGTCACTTTCAGCACCAGCGTCCGGTCGAAGACCGATGCTTGCACGCTCTCTGTCGTCACTGATCGGAGGCAGGACCCCAGCGTCCGGTTACCACGTGACCAGCGTCCGGTCCACTCTGTAAGACCCGGTCTTTTCTGTATAGGGTGCCGGTGGCACCGTTGGACTGTCCACACTCTACGGACGGACACTCCGTCGGTGGAGTTCCTAACCCTTCTCGCCTCCGTTTCATCGCCGAATTTATCCACATCAACTCCAACTTCATCTCCTTTATAAATGTGCCAACACTACCAAGTGTACACCATCATGTGTATGCGTGTTAGCACTTTCACAATCATTTTTCAAAGGATTAGCCACTCAACTTGCCACGCCACTCAATCCTAGCGACAATGCAAAGTTAGATCACTCGAGTGGCACTAGATGACCGATATGCAAACAAGTTTGGCCTTCTTGATAGTACGACCATCTATCCTAAACCCGGTCATCAACTTTTCTACACACCTATGACCGGTGAAATGAAATGCCCTAAGTTATACCTTTGCCTTGCGTATTCTATTCCATCTTCTCCAATGTCGATGCAACACATGCACCAACACGATCAACAATGATATGATCCACTTTATATCATCACATGATCTTGTTGGTTCATCGATCTTGACCTCACTTGCTTTTAACTGTTGCCTTCGTCCATCGGCACCAAGTCTTGCTCAAGCTTCACCGCCACGCGGTCCATCGCTCCAAAGCCTTCAACTTGCCCTTCATGCTTACAATCGGTCCATCAAGCTAAGTCATGTCTTGATCTTCTCCACCTTGATCACATGACTCAATATCATGTCTCATTTGCAATGAGCTCCTTCATCATTACATGTGTGGCCTTTGCAACATTTTCAAGTCATTTTCACCTTCATGGCATATCTTGCTCACACACATGTATTTATGGACTAATCACCTATATATCTCATATAAACACAATTAGTCCACATAGGTTGTCACTCAATTACTAAAACCACAAAAGGACCTTTCACATATCTGCTAATGTATTTTGTTCACTTGGTTTCATAGAATTTTCAATAGTAGAATAATTAATTTGAGGCATGTAAAATGGGTAAAACATAAAGTTGTAGGAATTATTGTGATAAAATTGATAGTAGTACTGGCCCTGAAATTTTTATAGTACATTTCTAATATTATTAGGTGTTCACTGTAATTTTTGTAGCTCCATAGAAATTAGTTTGTTAAGGTAACTAAATGAGCCCTAATACGAAAATATATATTTGATCAATTAAATGTCAAAAACAATTAGGGGATTGTAGAACAAAAATATTTTCCGGAAACGAGCCTCACTTGACCATGTGGATACATGGCTTAGTATGTTAATCATTAGAGCTAGCTCGTTAGCTTGCGAGACGTAATTGTATTTTAGAGTTGCGGTTGCCGTTGATTATTTACGTCCATGCGTTGCATCCACGTATTTCATGATAAGAGCGATGTTGGATCGTGGAGTCATCGGGAGTAACGGAAGTAGATGGTGACTTGATGATATTCCACCAAGATGAAAGCTAACTGGATTATATCTTATCCAGGCAAACTCCGGTGCATAACCCCTATTATTCAGCACTTAATTTTATGCTGGTACATTAAGTTTTAAGGAGTTGAATGAAACCCACTTGCATATATATATTCTTATCCTATGAGTCTTACTAGTATGACATGATCGTGTAGATTGCTATGCTACAGGATTTTGGTAGAAAGCAAGTGATTGCCTGTCACTCACGAGAGATAGAAAATATATTATTGTTACTATTATCATGTTACTATCACATGAAATATATATGGATAATAATTGGAGACCGGGCGAGACCATACTTTGGATTTGGATTTGGACTTGGTTAGGTAACCGAGCGAGGCTCTGGTTGCATTTGTCCCACTTGTATCAATTGAGGACCGTCCGTTGCAGTGGATTCTATTAAGGTCACAGACTTATTATCCTGAGCACATACTTATTTATAGGAGCGGAAATGCTCGTTGTTCTCTTATCGTGGGTTCCGACTCTTTCCGGACCGACTGATTGGAGGCGGGGATGGTGGAGGTCTAAGCACTACACTGAGTCCGGGACTCAGGAGTGGGGGCTTGGGGTCCAAGTTTGGACGAGGACCTGGACCCCTTGACAGGAGAGTGGTGGGTTGGTTTTGCTTGTGCCTAGGACACAAGCGGGGCGTGTGTTTCGGGATACCTAGCTGGGATATATCGGTTCGCAAATCGCCATATGATACGGTACGACTTGGCTACGATCTAGCACCGTAGTAAGAACTGAAATATGAAAGATGGTAAAATAGCTCCGATTTCGTATCACCTGCTTGAAAGTAGCATAGGTGCTTACATAGAATGGTTAGTTAATGAACTAATAATGACTGCTAGTAAAATTGAATATAAGAACGCTAGTTTAGTAATACTCCTACAGATACAATAAATCCACAAGCCAGATAACCTTGCATATCTATAGAGTCTTTTCTTTGCTCCTGATGGGTAAACCTTGCGGAGTACAATTAAGTACTCAAGATTTGTTCTACCCTGTTGCAGGTGACAAGAATATGTGAAGCTGACACTTGTGTGTGAAAATTTTCTGATGGGCTCCACTAGGATTTCCTACGAACAACGACCTGTATTCATGAGACGGAGTTGAGAAACTTAATCTTGTTTGTCTTTCTTTTTGTCGCCAAAAAATGAGAAAGACTCATCCGAAAAAATTATTCTAAGGTCTTGTTTAGATTGCAAGTTTTTTCACTTTCTCTCCATCACATCAAATCTTTGATACATATATGGAGTATTAAATATAGATAAAAATAATTAATTACACAGTTTGATTGTAAATTACGAGACGAATCTTTTAAACTTAATTAAATCTTGATTAAACAATAATTATCAAATACAAACGAAAGTGTTAAAATGCCTAATTCCTAACCTCAATGTAAACGAGGCGCAACTCGTCGTGCCCAGATCAGCAATCAATCAAACGATAAGAACGAGTGGACAACACGCGTTTGCCGAGTTGCCTTCCCTCGTCAATCGACTGACTCCTTCTGCCTTCGCGTCGCCTACCTCCCCAGACCCCCAACCCGCACTCTCCGCCGCTCGCCCGCTCCGCGTCCGGCGTCCCGCGTCGCCCCCCTTCCAATTAGCTTATCGTGCTCGACGAGAGCGAAGTCGCTGAGACCAGAGTGCCAGTTCCCCCGATTCCCCAATTCGATCCCAATTTTTTCTTGGATTTTCTGTTTTGGTACGGGATCTAGGGTTTGTCGTCGAATTCCGCCCCGAATTTTTGGGATTTGCTTCGGATCGATTCCGTTCCGGGGGATTCCTGCTTGCACTCTATGGCTGCGGCGCGGCACGGGGGTTACAGGAGCCACGACGTGTCCAGGAGGCGGGAGCTCGACCTAGAGCGTTCCAGGAGGAGCAAGGAGTACCGCCGCCCGAGCCGCGACCGCGACTCGGAACGCCGCCGTGATGGCAGCAGGGGCAGTGAGGTGTCCAACGGGTACAGCCGCCACCGCTTGCCGTATCCGCCACCGAGGAGCCGGCCTTCAAGGAGGAAGGACGATAAGGAGCCTGGTGAGGTCTCAAGCGATAGCGGCTCGGAGTCTGGTGGGCGCCCACCAGTGCCGAGGCAGGATGGGGTTCTGGGGGTCCGCAGGGATGGAGGTGCGTTGCCACCAACCAAGAAGAGGAAGCACTCACCTGGATTCCACGATTCGAATGTTTCAAAGCTGAAGGCAAGAGATGAGGTGTGGAGCAGGAGAGGGCCTGATGCCTTAGCTGCGGAGCTCCCTCTTCCTTCGCCGCCTCCTTTGTCAGACACGACCCCTGAGGCTGTGGCTGTGGCTGATGGGTGCGTACCAATGAATTTGGAAGTTTTGGTGGTTCCAAATGATGCTGAAAGGAGGGATGGGATTACAGAGGAGGAAAAGGATTGTGCAACGAGAAACATTTTTACTTCCAGATGGGCGGATGCTGATGAAGAGGAGGAAGAGCTGATTGTGCCCAAGAAGAAGAAAAGTGTGTCACCTGCTCATTTGCCTGAACAAAAATCCACAAAGAAAGTCATGAGCCCAGAGCTGGGAGAAGCGATGGGCAGTAAAACATCAAGAAGAAGTTCCTCAAGCTCGTCTAACTCGATGGGTAGTGAAAACTGTAATATTGAGGTAGACAGGGGTGACTGCATGGATGTTGAAAAAGAGGATGACATTGATTCTTCTGCTGGTTGTTCGCTGGGTACTCGTTCCAGGAGTGATGTGCGTAGGTCTGGATCACCTGAGGCTGTACGACCACGTAGGTGCTTTAACATGCTTCAGGGCTGTAGGAGTATTGATGAGTTTGAGAGGATCAACACAATCAATGAGGGTACATATGGAGTTGTATTTAGGGTGAGGGACAAGAAAACTGGTGAGATAGTTGCATTGAAGAAGGTCAAGGTGGATAAGGAAAAAGGGCGGGAAGGTTTTCCATTGACTTCTCTCAGGGAAATTAATATCCTTCTATCCTTTGACCACCCTTCAATTGTGGATGTCAAGGAAGTAGTTGTTGGTGGTCATGACGATGATACTTTTATGGTGATGGAGTACATGGAGCATGACCTTAAGGGTGTCATGGAGGCGATGAAGCAACCATATACCCAAAGTGAGGTCAAATGTTTGATGCTTCAGCTGCTAGAGGGCGTGAAATATCTTCATGACAATTGGGTACTTCACAGGTAATGACCAACTACTGATTCTTATTCATTGCTATTCTGCATAATACTAAATGGGTTCTATGCTTTCTGTATGTATTTAATAATGTCAGTGTTTCTTTGTAGGGATCTCAAGACATCGAATCTCCTCTTGAATAACCGTGGTGAGTTGAAAATATGTGATTTTGGACTCTCTCGTCAATATGGTAGCCTGCTAAAGCCTTACACCCAACCAGTTGTGACTTTGTGGTACAGGTATGTTATCAGCCAGCATAAGATTTCTCAAACGCCCCATGCATTTTTACATCACGATTTGACTTGACATTCTCACATATACAATGACGACTCATTGTTTGCTCCTTATAATTACAGGGCTCCGGAACTACTATTAGGAGCAAAGGAGTATTCTACTGCTATCGATATGTGGTCATTAGGTTGCATAATGGCAGAACTCTTGTCAAAAGAGCCACTCTTCTCTGGGAAGTCTGAGATAGATCAACTTGATAAGGTATATGGACATATGATGTGTGATCTACTATATTTTGTTTGTTATAACTACATCACTGAATTCTAATGGCAGTTAACTTCTACTCTAGATATTTAGGATACTCAGCACACCCAATGAGGAGCGATGGCATGGTTTTTCCAAATTGCCCGGTGCCAAAGGCAACTTCATAAAGCGACCGTAAGTGGCAACCAATCTTTATAGCTGCTATTTTTGTGTTTTCAATGCAGTGGTTCACTTTCATGGAGGTCTTACCTTCGATTTGCTACATCAGGTACAATAGATTAAGGGACAAATTTCCAGCTGTATCCTTCACGGGAGGCTTGACCTTGTCAGAAGCTGGGTTTGACCTGCTAAATAGGTTGCTGACATATGACCCTGAGAAGGTAAAATACGTTCTCTAGTGCACCACCTGATTTTCCTGTACACATTTTGCACATCCTTAATAGACCTGTTCCTTTTATACAGCGTATATCAGCTGATGATGCCTTGAACCATGATTGGTTCCGTGAAGTTCCTCTGCCCAAGATGAAGGAATTCATGCCAATGTTTCCTGCTCTGAATGAACAGGACAGGTAATATTTACTTTATTATTTGACTTCCAAACTCGAAATGCCTAAACTGAATGTTTTATTAATATGGCTGTATATTACATTCTTGGACATGCAGGAGGGTCAAGAAATACATGAAGAGCCCTGACCCCCTGGTGGAGCAACAGATGAAAGAACAAGGGAGCATAGGAGATCGTGGCCTTTTTGGCTGATCTGAAACCAGACCAGTCTTGCTGCAAATGTCAGTTTTTGAGTGAGTAAACATGTTCCAAGGTGAGGTGTACAACTGGACAGAGAAGTATCCCGTCTACTTGGTGTGTGGTGATAGCTTATTGTGTTCTATAACAGGCGAGGAATCAAAGGGGAACAGAAATTTACTTTAAGTCCCATGCAGCTAGTGTTCAAATGGCAGGGTTTCATATTCTAACCTACCATCATTATAAGGTGCAGATCTAATGCACTTTCAGTTCATCTAAAAGGTCTGGCCTTGCGTACACCAAGTTTCACCTCTGACATGTGTAATGTAAAGTATTATAAATTGTTGACTTGTAATCAGCAATCAAATAGATATTAGTGACATTTCATTTTCTCTTTTCAACTAGTGCATTTTCTTGTGATCTTTTCATTTTGTTTGCAAGAGTTGAATGAAGTGAAGGGACCGGTGCCTTTTTCTTTTCGCAAGGAAATCAATGCCCTCTTAATGGGAATTGTAAGGTAAAATGCCGAGGAACCTGTTCCCTCTGCTGATGTGTTATCGTGTAAAAATGTGGTGAATCTATATCTTTATTAATTTCTTATTTAAATTTGCTAAAGGATCTGGTTGTACTGAACAGAGTTAGATCAATCATAACACCTCTGGTGCTTCCTTTAGTTAGCTTGGTGTACCTTGTCTTATAGACATAGCCTGCTCATTTTCAACAGTGCAAGTGTTTACCTGACAGGCAAATTTTCTGGTTCGACATATGTTAACGGTGTAGAAACATTTCTACGATCTAGGAATCAAATCAGTCTGAGGTGTGAAGCATTTTTAGTTTCTTATTAGGTGTTGGTTTACTGAAGACACTAGGTTCTTAACATTGTTGCTTGGTCTACTAATCCTTGCACCTGTGTTGATATATTCATATCGGTGAGCCTATTTATTGTAAATTATCATTGCTTCAGCAGTCGTTTCTTGTGAGAAACTACTGAATTGTCACTAGCGTTCTTGCCAGGATTTGTTAGGCTAGATACCTTTCTTTAGGAATAGTATATATGCTCTGTTAGACCTGGTCCTGATGATTTCTGTTACCAATTAGACTTCAATTGATGACTAATTCTTGAAGGACTTCTTGGAAAGTTTACATAACTCACTTCAAACATTATGTGACACGTCTGCAGCTTAAAGCTGTGGCTGTATCAAGAGAGGAAGGATTCGTGGATGCCAGATTTTATACCTTACTGACTTTTTTTGTGGTCGGGCCTCCAAAGGTCTCATCTGTAATTGTGAATCCAAGTGGTCAGTTTACTATCCTATCTTCTATGTACAATCAGGGGTTTATATGCTAATTATTTGTTAATACTCCACCTGTTCTTCGCTTGACAGAGTTTAGCTCAGCTCTTTTGACTACTATGGTAACCTCTGCCCTCTTCGTCTTCCCACTCCAGTTCTGTTTTGTCAGCTCATCATCATTATTTATCATTCCTGTGATTCGTTGCACGATCATTATCAATTTGTTTCTTTATTTGCATGGGCATGAACTGTTCCCACCATACTTGGCACCTGTTCAGGGTTAGAGTTAGGATTCTATGCTTATTATTGCTTGAATAGTTATGAAGGCAGGTAAAAGAATAAGGTTAAGAATATGCTAAATTACTCCTTGTGCTTTGGTTAGATGATATTACCGAACACATTTGTTGAGGTGTAAGGCAGTTCTGGGTTTACCTGTTCATTCTCCAAACAATTGATCAATCATGGTTTTTAACTTCTTCCAAGGTTGATCCTAACCATTCCTTATGTGGTTTAATTGTCATATTTTGCTACTCCCTCCTATCATAAAAACATGTCGTTTAGGACAAGATTTGGTCAAACCTTAAAAGCTACAAACATATATAACTTTTAAGTTATTTAGTTTATGATTGCTGTGTCTTGCTTTATCGGCTACTGTTTTTTTAATTTTCATGCCATAAAATGGTGGAATTGCCTGTGGAGTTACATGAATGCTTTCTACTGACTTTAGTTGAGATGTGTGCCAATGTATTATGTCCAATTCCACTTGCTATACCATCTTTTTTCCTTATTTTACTGGGGTTTGTTGTTGTTGAATAATCTGCTGATAATACTGCTCCTTCTTTTGTGCTTTTATAATCTGCCAGAGGTAACTAGTTAACTATAAAATCTGAGAGGATGCTACCATGTGAATTATGTTATTCTTTTTTCCTAGTTGGGTAAAATGCGCTAATGGTTTGCTATGCCTAAATTTGAATTCGAGTTGACTATGTTCCTTATTGCGATGTTTGTGGCACATAGGTATAGTGCTTCCATTACTCCTGTGGGATGGCTAATATCTCCGTGTTACTTATTGGGTTGATGTGTTTATATGATTTTGGTAAGAATAAAAACAACAATAGTAAAATACAATGAAGCCTGGAAAGCAAGTTGTGCTAAGTTAGGTGAAACCAAACAAAAGCCACCAACAAAGAAGATATATAATTTTGGTAGAACGTATTCATGTCTTTGATACTGGTGTAATTGTGATTGTGAGATTCCAACCTAACTGCTTTCTCAGTTGCCTGAACTTGTACGATATTTACCATTCTTATGTCAGTTGTCTGAACTTGTACGATATTTACCATTCTTGATCAGTGAATAACTATTTTGATTTATACCTCCGTACTAGAAAAGGTGCAATTCTAGTTTTCTCCTTAGTGAAACTATAAAGTTTGACCAAATCTATTGAAAAAAACAATATTTATGACATGAAACAGGTATACTATTAAATATTTGTAATTAAGAATCTAATGGTTTTTATTTGGTATAGTAATTGTTGATACCTTTTTATATACATTTGGTCAAACTTAATAGCTTTGACTCTGGTACTATACTAGAGTTGCATTATTTTTTCTGAATTGAGTATAATCTCATATATTTGATAGGTTGAAAAGATTCTTATCTTCTGTACATCCGGCTGCTAGATGCCATTCCCATAATATGGTGGCATATAATCAGGTGTCATTCAGCATAGATGTCATGATGTCGTATCCTAAATCGATGTATTCTAAAATCTTTGTATGACTTGTGGCCTCATTAACTCTGTTTTAACCTTTTTATTTTGTCCATTGCTTGGGGCGGCGAGTGCAAACGCATGTTTGAAAGGGACGATTGGTGGAGTCTGGAATCTGAAGATACAACCGTCTACCATATATAGCCAGGCGTATGTAGACCTCTATTTCATGCAGGAGATTATTAGCATCTTGAGTTTTGTATACATACAAAATAATCGCGGAAAGATCTTAGATATTCTGGTTGAACTTTTTTTTTGTGAGTTAGATGAGCACAGGCAAAGCTATAGGAACCACAGTACACCGAAAGAACCTGTATTCGACGAACTTGGACAGGGAATCGAAACTTTGACCATGCTGGCTGCACTACTATCCGTCTCATTTCACGAGTACAGCCAAACAAGGTCTTAGCTGGGCGTTTTTCGTGGGCAGGGAATCTTAAAAGAATGCATAAACAGCCTCTCGAGCTAGTCTAAACATTCTAAAAAAATTGAAGTGTTCCCTTCCTTATATAGGGACAGGAAATCCCTCCTGACCTCCATGACCTCTTCAATGAATCATTGGCTGCATTATATTATTCAAAATAAAAAAAGACAGAAACCAGCATTGACCGGTTGGCGTGCGAACTTGCAATGGCTTCGCCCTACCAAGTAGGAACACAGAGCAATGGGGACTTACTAGTGCCTGGACATCCGGAGCAGATGAGCGTGTCTGGACGCCTCGTGCATGCTACTGACCTAGCTTGCTCGCCCACGCCTGCGCTGTATTACTGCTGCACGCGCACGTGCGTCTGCCTCGTCCCGCCCCGCACGCGTACCCTGACTGCGCCCGCCACTCTTCCCCCTGACCCCTTCTCTCTCCGTGTGGGCTGGACCCGGGAGCCTTGATGAGGACGAGTACGCCCTGTGCGTAGGACCCTAGGCGCGTCGTGCGCCCCATCAGCCGGTCCCCGGTTCACCGCGCCCCTTCCTCAGTGTCCGGGCCGTGCCTCCATAACTCTCTTAACATACCTCTAAAACACGAAGCATTTGTAACGTGAAAATACTTGAATGCAACATAAGTCTAAAGCAGATGAAATATTTGAAACATACATTTGTAATATATGTATGAAATGTATGCAACATCCAGATAAAACACTTACAACATGAAAATACTTACTGCAACATAATAAGAATGAAAAACAGCTGAAACATTTGGAACATACTCTTGCAGCATATGTGTGAAACACATACGTCTGAAACAGATGAAACACTTTGATACAACCCTTGCAACATGCTTATGAAACACTGACAACATATGCAACATCCCGATCTACTTTTGCAACATCCATGTAAAACACTTGCAACATACATTTGAAACATATGAACCATTTGAAACATAATTTTGCAACATGCGATTTCATTGTAACATCTCCTTGCTGCTTTGCAACATGCTATCAAAAAGTTTACTGTGACTCAAGGGGATGTTTGGTTCCCAGCCACAACTAGCCACACTTAAGGTTAGGTACCAGCCACACTTGTGGCTAGCCACATTATGTGGCAAGTTTAGAGTGTTTGGTTGAGAACTAAGATGTGGCAAAATAATCTGGCTCCTGTTTGGTTTATGTTACAAATGTTAGGCAAAAAGTTGGGGTAGCTATTTGGATTACATGCCTGGGTGTTCATGTTCAGAAAATATTAGCATGTGTAAACACATTTATGTTTTTAGACACTTTTATTAATTATAAACCTATTAACAAGCATAAACCTAGGTAAATTAATAACTTAGTCATATATGCACCAATGAACTTGAAACTTTTATCATAGCACAAGCATGACATGACATGAATAGTCTACCATAAAATTTTCATAGCAATTGGAGCAATATAACTACAGATATGCATTTTAGAATTTTCAACCGATTTATTTGCATAAAAGAAAAGGATAACAGAAAAAGGAAAACACGTTTTGCACTG